GACCGCTTGGCCGCGACGGGGCGCTCGAAACAGTGGCCAAAAGTGAACTCGCGCCGTAGCATTGCAGTCAGCAATCTCTCTACTAATCTCTGGTTATTAGGTGATAGGCGCTGGTATTATTAATAATTATTCATTTTACAGGTCGGCCAGTGAGTGCTTCGGGTTATTGGGTGATAGGTGCTCGGGTTATTAATAATTATTTATTTAACAGAGTTGCCTGTAAGCGCCCTGGGTCATTCGGTGATAGGCGCTTGTGTTATTCATTATTAATTATTTATTTAATAGGTCGGCCCGTAAGCGCCCTGGGTTATTGGGTGATAGGCGCTCGTGTTATTTATTGATATACTATTTATCTTACAGGTTCACCAGTAAGTGCCCTGGTTTATTAGGTTATAGGTGCTTGTGTTATTTATTAATAATTATTTANTCGGCCAGTAAGCGCTTCGGGTCATCAGGTGATAGATGCTTGTGTTATTTATTAATAATTATTTATTTAAAAGAGTGGTCAGTAAGTGCCCCGGGTCATTAGGTGATAGGCGCTTGTGTTATTAATAATTATTCATTTAAAAGAGTGGCCAGATAGTGCCCCGGGTTATTAGGTGATAGGTTCTTGTGTTATTAATAATTATTTTTTGAAATGAGTGGCCAGTAAGCGCCCTGGGACATTGGGTGATAGGCTTTTGTGTTATTAAAAATTATTTATTTATTAGAGTGGCTAGTAAGTGCCCTGGGTCATTGGGTGATAGATGCTTGTTTTATTGGAGCCGATTTGAATCTAGCGCGTTACCTTCGGTACTATTTTTTTTGATACCATGTTTTTCCATGTCAGAGAGGTTGAGTCCTAGATAATTCCAAAATCTGGCTGGAACTATATCCCATCGCTAGTGTTCGCTTGCTTCCTCCCACGGGCTCGCTCACGCGCGCTCACTCGCTTACTTACGCGCGCGTTTGTTACATCGATAGGCCCCCAGTAGCACTGCACCGCCTTTAGCTGTGACAGAATTTTTCCGTGTTGTTGCTAACCTTACCACGCACTACGCAAAATTTCTTCAGACCATCATCTTCAGGGTAGATGCTGTTGTCTTGTCCTCGCGATGTCGTCCACTGCCATGATGTGTTGATGTAAATTTTCTTTCGCAGGAACTGCATCTCTTCAACCGAAAACGAATTATTTAACTCAATTATGTTCTCACTTTGGTTCTCACGCAGTTTTTTAATGGTTCTATCAGTGAGATAGTGTAAAACCAATTTTACTAATTTTTCCAGTTTTGTTATTTGAGATTTATTTTTATTAAGATTATAATTTTTCTTACTTCTCTTTTATGTTTTTGATTCATGACCTCCACTTTTGTTCTTTTTCATTTCCGTACTCTTTTTTTAAACATTTTTTTCCTCTTTTTAGAACCCATACTTGATTTGTGTTTACAGTGAATTGGAGGTTAACTTTTAAAAATTTTGAAAAAGCAATTTTCCTAAATCGGTGCACCCCTTAACAACAAAACTGAGTAGTACAGTATTTTTTTCTACAAAGTACTGCACTTTTTATTTTATACACTTGTTTAAAAAATTCGCGTAAAAGATTCACTACGTTAAAAGGTAAACAACTTTGATTGTATGTCCATGTACTAGCTACGACGTTTTTGTGCCTATGACCTGAAGTTGGACAAGAGCTCCACGTTTGTTAAACTACTACGAAATCGTGAGGTGTATTTGGACAGCTAATTTTAAATTGTAAACATTTTTTTTATTCACGATTACATTAGAAATATTGTTAATTAATGTAAAAGTTGTAAAATAATACCATACAGCATGCATACAAATGCATTGGATTAATTTTAACGAACATTACCTATTATTAAAACCATGAAAAACGAAGAAAAATTATCGCACGTTTATGGTGCCTTAGGTGAAATTTAGAATCATTCGCTTGTATCTAATTTTGCTGAAATTTATTAAAAAATTCAAGTGTATCATCAATAACATTCATAGCAATACTAATCTATTACGTTTTTTAAATTTTTTTTTTTTTATTTACTACAATGACGGATTTTTTACTGTCCAAGTATCGGTCTAAATTTTAATTTTGTCTAAGTATTGGGCGTTTTACCTTACGAAAATTTTTTGCGTGGTATTTAAATCAGAAAATATTTAAAGCAGTAACGTTGAAAAAAAAAATTTATTATACAGAAAATTTTGTTTATAATAAAAAAGCTGTCCTCTTCTACACATAAATCAAATTTTTAATCTTAAGATGAATCATTATTATTATTTTATTGTCTAATCAAAAAATAAATTAACTAAATCTCAAATGATAGCACTGAAGAAGTTGCATTCTGTAAACACATGTTCAATTCGATGTATCTTGAGTTAAATGATGTTCGAAAAAACATTTTTAATATTTTATGTGAGAAAACAAATGAACGTTTGTTTGTTGATAGTCCTGAAGAATTAGAAAAAAGTTTTTAAGTTTCGACGAATATTACGTTTATGACGTCATAAATGACGTATTTTGCGATGTCACTAATGACGCCATAACTCGAGATTTAGGTTGAAATAACGGAGACATCTATTTAATTTTTTTAAAATTTCATCCTCGTCTTTATGCACACTCCTAGTCTAACTATTGTCACCTTTAATTGCCTCAATATTCTTACTTGTTTGATAACGACTATCTTCGCGAAATCGGTGTTATACATTAGGTCATATTTTTTTTGCTTTTTAAAAAATTCTCATGAATTTCAAATTACTGCTTCTTTTTTCTCGGCTTTTTATACATCTATTTAATCTTGTTTTGATTTATCTAATATTAATTTTGGTGCTAGTAAGACATGCTACGTAGACTTTATGATTGAAAGTTTATTGTTTTAAAACTTTTACTGTAAAATAATTTATAAATGTATGTGCATAACGTACCGTGTGGTATTGCCTAGTTTAAAAATTATCTCCTACTAATATATAAAATAGCACAGTCAAACACTAAAAAATCACACTGACTAGATTGTCGCATCTCATAAATTCCTGAATATTTCACTATAATTCAATAATAGAAATTCATCAATGTACAAGTTACTGTGAATTATAAGTAAAGTGCTGTAATAATGTCGTCAGTAAGTTTAATACAAATGGAGTGTGTGAATCTGTTTAGACTATAGCAATTAGTTTTGTTTAGTATATTAAACCTTCAACTTTCAACTGATTTTTGTAAAATTGGTCTCATCTTCGTAAAAAAACAATTTATAATTAATCAGAAGGATCTTCGTGGGACACTAAAATCATTCTTGTTTCGGCATGATCATAGCAAATACGTACCTCTATTGTAGATACGGATCATATGTCACATAATTTTAAAATCATAATGCAATAAGTAGAGTATAAGCTGACTAAAGTATTACTCGTTTTTTTTAACCACGTAAAACGAAATGCATAACTCAATACTTTTTAAGGTACTCTTTATTGAAATATCATAAAAATCAATATTATTTACTGAAATATTAATTGTTAAAAGCTATGAACAAATCATTTACTTAACTCATCAAACAAATAAACTTTACCTGTCTTTCTTTTACGTAAACTGTTGATTACTTGGTTCTCTCAAATTATTAAAATTTTTATATTTGAAATTGACGAAGCCAACCTGCCTTATATATTAAAGTTTCTTCTAAATGCAATGATGTTTCGCTAATAAAGTATAATCTCCAATTTTTTAGGGATTGATTTTCAAAAGTATTTATAAAACAAGCAAATTTTTAATTTTGATTGATGATTGAAATTGAATTTAAAAGTATTTCTTTTTATTATTTGCTATTGGAATTTAAATAGTTAAAAAAAATTAAAATATAGTGTCACAATTGTTAGAGTTAACATGCCGATAGTGCCTCACTCCCCTATTGGCTCAAAAGAATTTGATTTGTGTGCCGATTTCTCTAATGATTTTTTACTCAGCAGGCTAGTAATTCAATGCGTTGCCGAAGGAAACAGCCGCGCTGGCGCAAGCACTATTTGCAGGCTGGGTTGTTCTCTGATTACTTTAAAGAGGATGAGCCATGCAAGCCGACAACAGCTGACACAAATAACAAAAACAAACTGGCCTACGATCCAGCCGAGCATCTGCATGGTCTGCTGCCACCTCCCTACCACTGTGGAAAATTTCTACGCCATCGTAAGATCCCTTTCCAGTTGCCGTACGATCTGTGGTGGCTGCACACACACTCACGCCTGCCTGGTCGGGACCTAGTACCTTCCTGGAACTATCGGAAGATCCGTTCAAACGTCTATTATGATGTGAAACCAACAATGTTGTACGAGCCCCAAGCTTGTGAGTGCAAGCCCGAATCTGGCTGTGGTGACGACTGTATTAACCGCATGGTATTTAGTGAGTGCTCGTCTCAGCTCTGCCCATGTGGTGAACACTGCCAAAATCAGCGTATACAGAAGCATAATTGGTCACCTGGATTGCAGCGCTTCATGACTGAATCCAAAGGCTGGGGCGTGCGCACCCACAAGTCCATTAAAAGTCAGTATTGTTTAACTCTGCACTATGTTTTTCAAATGTTTCATTGTATTTTCACACGATTTTTTCTTAGCAAAGAAATCAATAATTTTGGATGTATTGTTTTATAATATTATACGATATTTTCCTAAATAACGTTGTTTTTTTAATCTGGTATCTCACTTAAATACTTGTTTTAATTATTTTGCAATATTTTACGAGATTTCCCTGAATTACATAATTTTAGTAATCTGGTACCTCACTTAAATGCTTGTTTTAATATTTACAATATTATAATAATTGACACAACACCACCAGAACTAACTTTTGAATATTACATTTTGCAGTCGGTGACTTCATATTGGAGTATGTAGGTGAAGTGGTGTCGGAACGTGAGTTTAAGACGCGCATGGCCACCCGTTATGCCAACGATACGCACCATTATTGCCTACATCTAGACGGTGGCCTTGTCATCGACGGGCATCGTATGGGTGGTGATGGTCGCTTTGTAAACCACTCATGTGAACCCAATTGCGAGATGCAGAAATGGAGCGTACACGGGTTGCCGCGTATGGCTCTTTTTGCTCGAAGGGACATCAATGCAGGCGAGGAGCTTACCTATGACTACAATTTTGCGCTATTCAATCCGTCAGAGGGTCAAGAGTGCAGATGCGGTAGCACAGAATGTCGTGGCGTTATAGGTCAGTAGTGTTTTTGCATAACACTAACCTAGCATCTCTCAAAACTTAAAACTTAAAACTTAGAAAAATATTAATTACAGAGTGTGAAAATAATACTTAAGCATGTAAGTGTTAATAAATAGTAATATAAATATTCTAATTTATTGTTAACAATTGGTCAAGTCATACACATGTGTTTATAATGTATGCTCTCAAAATTAAGTGGACCAAGCTGTTTGATAGTCTCAATACTTCAGTACAAATAAATATCTAACTTCGTATGAAGAGCTTAGAGGTTAGCTTACTAGCCTCCTAGCCGGAGAAACTCAAGGGATCATGGGTTTTAATACCATAAAAAATTATTAAGATTTTTTAGAACGAAGTTCTTTATGTCGCGTTACTCGGGGGGCTGGAATTTTAAAACCGACAGATTTTTTTTTTTTCGAAACGAAAGTAGTTTTACCCAAAGTCTCTACCTTTCAAGTTTCCCCCCTTACCCCGTCCCCCTCACCTACTGGTCTCTACACACTTCCCCTCTCCCCACTATATATGTATATCTGCCAACCGTGCCCTGTTAATCTTCTGCACACCTTTACCCACCATTCTCCCTCACATTCCCAAGCAATTAATTTTTTAACAAATTCTAATTTTATTTTCCCACAAAAATTTTTATTTCACTTTGAATTTTTTCTTTTACAATTCTAAAAAAAAAAAAAAAAAAAAAAAAAAAAAAAAAAAAACAAACATTTTCCAACAAACAGATTTGAACCCTCGACCTGCTGCACATAAGTTCAGTACCTTACCCACTCTGCTACGAGCGCTGCCGACTACAGAACTCGGTTTCTTGTACTTATGGTGTGATTCTGTATGTTGTATTTCTGTTAAAGAGGAAATACAAATAAACGAAAAAAAATGTAATTAAATGAAATATGAAAAAAAATAAAACAAGAAATGAAAAAAAAAA